ACACTTTGTAAAAAATCTTCCAAATTGTTTTAATCGATTGTTTCGTGTTTCAATCGATTAAAATACTGCAAAACATTTTTATAAACTTTTCAAGTGATTTTAAATGATAAAAAATTTGTTTCAATCGATTAAAATGCTAAGCAGAAATTTTCTTAAGTTGATTTAATCGATTGAAACGCAGTTTAATTGATTGAAATAAATCTGATCGGTCATAACCTAATTCTGATCGATCATATCCGGTTTTGATCGGTCATACCTCAATTCTGATCGATCATATTTGGTTCTAATCGGTCATACCTCAATTCTGATCGATCATATTTGGTTCTGATCGGTCATAAACCTATTCTGATCGTTCATCTGCTGTTCCAAGTGGTTTTAATCGATTGTTTCGAAGTTATATCGATTAAAATACTGCCAGAACACTTCTCTGAACATTTTAAGTGATTTTACTTGGTTATTTCGAAAACTGTATCAGTTAAAATACTGACTGAATTATTTCAAAACTTCTTTTAATGAAAACAATCGGTTATTTCGAAGTTATATCAGTTAAAAACCTGTTATAAAAGTGTGAAGAACAATTTAGTTGATAAAGCTTATATGCTATTAGTTAAAATAGTTGATTAAGAAAGCTTTTATCAAAATACTTTGTTTTTAACTGTTAAACCATTTTTTTAGAGGCAATTGCAAAATCTTTTAAATGAAGAAACCTCATGCAGCAGAAAGATAAAAATGATTATACTTAAGCAGAGCTGCAGACACACTAATCCTTCTATTCTTTTATCCAAGTGACCTTTGACTGCCACAAAGTAGCCTTTTACTTCATTCTTGACTTCATCAAATCAACAAGATCTTTGCCAAAGTAATTCAATAAGATCTTCATTACTTTCACTTTATTTTTTATTGGTTTAATAAATTCGAATAAGATATTTTTATGTTTTATTTCATTTTCGAATACTTCAAAAGGGTATATTAACGCTAGGAATTGGGTTCCTAAAATAATTTCTTCACTAATATCAGGGATTAGTATAAAAGTATTTTTAAAATATGTTCCTTTGTTGCATATACTTGCGTTTGACAATTTATATTTTACCTTTAATTTTTCAGAATTAGCAGTTCTTAGAGTTTGTAGAGTTTTTTCATAGTATTTTGTAGGTATTAGTTCTTCTCGTAAACAATTTATATGAGCTTCGAGTCTACCAAAACTATAAATTATTTGTAAAAATTATTTCCAATCTTTAATGTAGCTTTTACATGCCATTTTTGTTGTAAAATTTTTAGTTGATTAACCTTTTCGAATTTACCACATCATTTAAGAAGGATTTATTATTTATAATATCCATTTTTTCTTCTTGTATTTCATTTTTTATTTTTAATTCTATTAGTTGAGTTTTAATCTCTTTTATTTCTTCTTTTAAAAGACTTGTTTCTTTTTGTAAATCTTGCAAATTTAATGGTTTTTCTTTATTTATTGCCTTTTTTAATATTTTTGAAAAATCATAACCACTTACTTCTGTTGATGAAATTTTTGTGTCTTTTTCGTTTAGTATTAGAGTTTTTAATTTATTTATATATTCTAACTTATGTTCTTCTTTAGGAAGTTTATCTACCATTTCTAAGACTATTATGGTTTTAGTGGTTAAAACATTAATATTAAATATGTAATCACAATTTTCTTCGATCTCATTTTCATTGGAATTAGTAGCATTTTCATCTTCACTACTACTAGTTTCTATTAAATTATTTATATCTTCTTCTGATTCTTATAATAATATGTTTGCTATTTGATTTTTTACTTCTTCACTCGTGTTTAGGTTTTGTATCTTCTCTCGAACTCTACAGTCTTTTTTCATATGTCTATATCTTCCACATTTATAGCAAACTATTCCTTTCTTAGGATTAGTTTGATTATTATTTATAGGTGGTTTTGATTTTATTTTACTTTTAAAGTTTTTAGAGATTTTCCTGGTATTATTCTAAGGAATTTTTCTTTTGATTATTTGTTTTTGCTTTTTTTTTCTAGGAGGAGGGTCTAATTTTTCATATTCGTATTGAATGCAGAAATCTCCTAATTCTTTTGTATTACTTTCTTGTTGTCTTTTAATCTATTTTTCTAACTTTAGATTATTACATATTTCTAAGGCAGGTGTTTTTAATAGTTGAAATTATTTTTCCATATGTTATATCTTGCAAGGGTTCAGGATATTTTTGGGATAATCTTTCCCGTACTTTTATTGCAAATACTCGGGGTAATCCAGCAATAAATCTTTCTTTCTAAAATGTTTCTTTGCAATCTATTCTAGTCATTACCATGATTATGAAATTATCTACATACCATCGGAAGTCTCTTAGATTATGTAGCAGGGTACTAGTTTTTCTTCAAAGGTATTGGAATCGCCCATGAAGTTATGGATAATTGACATTATTAATGTTTTTACCATTAGTGGTATTTATGTATTTCCTTCTTGTTTTAATGCTGTTAAAATAAATCTTTTTTGATATGCGGATATGTAAATTTCCCACCATCCTTTTAGGGATTCGGTAAATCCTAGGATTAATAATTGTATTGTTTGTTCTTCTGAGTTTTTAGCCCTATAGGCTGAGGCGGTCATGACCATTTTATTGGTTTTTTTTTATAATTGATAATCGGTTAATTCATCTATGTTCCATTCGATTATTCATGTTCAATTAAAGGCGGATGGACTTTCTAAATTTCATTCTTCAAATTGTATATCTGGTAGGGTTGATCTTCCGTAATAATTCCTAGTAGTTGACATATTATGGGTAGTTGGATTTGCATTAAATTTGCTTCTTATTTTATTTATCTTTTCTTCAAAATCTATATTTTCTAGGTTTCCTAATTCTTCTTCTGATATTTTTATAATATTTAATTTTCTTACCTTTAATTGTTTTAATTTTTTATTTATTTCTTCTAATATTCTGATTTCTTATTTTAAATTTTTTATATTCTTTATTGGATAATCTTATAGGATTTATTAAATATTTTTGTAGGTAAGTTATTCCTAACAGATTTTTACTGTTTTGTGAACTTTATTCTTTAATTATTTTTTGAGCTAGTGTAATATTTAATTTGTAAAATTTAATATATATATATATATTAAAAATTTATTGTTTTTGAATTCATAGTTTAGTATGTTTTGAAAATAAAAATAGTTTGAGATTGATTTCTTTGATTTATTTATAAATAATTGTTCTTAAATTACTTTTTAACACTATTATTTTATTTTCTAATAAGATTTTAATATTAAGTGATTATACATATAAAGTTAGTTAATAGTGGCGTTTCCGATTACTCATAATAAGTTGAATTAAAAATAATCAATTTAACTTTGTTGACTTGCTAAAACATTTATTATTTCATGAACAAATTTGAGTACATGTTGGATAAATTACATTATTAAAAATTTAAATAAAAATATTTAATATATTTATTAAAATATGTAATGTGTTATAAATAATAAATGTTCAATCTTACCATTAATTGAGATACGTAATTTTTTAAATTATATACTTATAAAAAATATGGATCGTGAGTCAATCCATAAGTAACTCAACTTCATTTTAATTTGTAATTAAAAACATGATATTTTTAATTTAATCTAACTCTAACTCAATTCTTTTTATAAATAATATATTTAAAAAAAATTACTTAAATAAATCCTTTATAATGTATTTATAAATTAGACCTATTTGTTTTTAAAACATAAAATTTGATTTTTTAATTAAATTTGTGAGAAAAAAGTTTTTTCTCTCGCGTTCTCTCTTGTAATTGTTTCTCCACTCCAAATTCCTTATATAAATTAGGTCAAAAAAATGTTAAAGTGAAATATTTTTAAACCAACAATGAAACTAAAAATATTAAACTCTTTGACAAAAAAAAAGTATTTTACACTCCAACTTGAATAATAAATTATATGTATAAATTTTTTAAATATTATTAAAAGAAATCAAATAGACTAATTTAAAAATATTAAAAGATTAACTGAGTTAAATTTAAATAATTTCATTAGTTTTGGTACAAATTATTTTTTTATAAAATTTTACAAAATGATAAAAAATGCATGTGTTCAATTAAATAAATAATAAATTTAATAATGATATTAATAATAAAAATAATATTAAAGATAAAAATATAAATAAATAATTAATATTTATTATAATTTTTAATATTATTATTATAATTACTAATTAATGACAATGATAATAATAATTATTATAATAAATATTAATTATTTTATTTATGTATAATAAAATTAGTATTAATAATATAATAATCCTAATAATAATAAATATAAATAATTATATATATAAGAGCAAAGCCGTGCTAAATAACTTCTTCACTCAAAAGAGGAAAAAAAAAAAAAAGGTTATAAACATAAAATAAAATAAAAATTTGAAATCATTTTTTATTGCACGAATTTTTTCTCATATTCTACTCAAATTGGTAGTTTCTTTTTAAAATGGAATCATTTTTGTGTTCCCAAATCCTCTTTCTATATATCTTTTTGAATCTCCTTATTTTATTCTATACATGTTATACAAATAAATTTGAAAATAAGTTTTAATCTCTACCATTGTAGTTTTATTTTACTATAGACTAAAAAATAAAGTCTATATAATCATAGGAATAAAATAAATAATTTAATTTTATATTTAATATTCTTTTATTATTCGAAAAGATGTATTGAAAAAAAAAATAAAGTCTATATAATCATAGGAATAAAATAAATAATTTAATTTTATATTTAATATTCTTTTATTGTTCGAAAAGATGTATTGGAAAAAAAAAAATTAGTGTTTATGCTAATAATTGGGAAAGTGGAATGGTTTAAGTGTGCAACATAGTTTTGAATTCCTGAAAAGGCTTCTAGAGACATGGATTCACCACAAAACATTGATGCATGCAATAAATAGAACATATTCTGGTTCCTACAAAAACTTGACACTGGAAGATCAAACCCTCCCTCTCCTTCTTGTTCATCATGGCACAAGAATCACCAACCCTGAAACTTCACCAACTCCTTCTCATATCTCCACCCCAAGACACTTCTCCAACCTCTCTTTCCTTCACCTTCTTCGACGTTCTATGGCTAAGGTTCCGCCCAGTTGAACGTCTTTTCTTCTACGAACTCCCAAACTCAACCATTTCATTCTTTGACACCATTCTTCCCAACCTCAAACACTCTCTTTCCCTCACACTCCAACACTTTCTCCCTCTCGCTGGCACCATCACATGGCCCCTTCACTCCCCCTTACCGTCCATAACCTACACCCCCGGAAACTCAATCACCTTCACAATTGCCGAATCTAACGCGGACTTCACCACCATCTCAGAATCCAACCACCGCCACCACCTGATCCCCCACTTAAGCATCTCACACGACCAGGCCTCTGTGTTAGCCCTCCAACTCACCCTTTTCCCCAACCAAGGCTTCTGCATCGGCATAACCTCGCACCACGCAGCCCTCGACGGAAAATCCTCCACCTTGTTCATCAAATCATGGGCACATCTCTGTTCCCACCTCAAAGACTCACATTCACCACCACCCCAACAACAACTGCCCAAGCATCTGACACCCTCGTTTGATAGATCCACGATAAAAGACCCTTCGGGGATCGGCGAAGTCTACGCGAACTCGTGGCTGAGCTTCGGAGGAGAGACCAACAATCGAAGCCTGCAGGTGTTGGAGTCCCTCAGCGAGACGGAAACCGATTTGGTCAAAGGAGTGTTCGTGCTTACGGCGGACAACATTAAAAAGCTGAAGAATTTGGTGCAGTCTAAGGTTGTCGAGAAGAACAAGGTTCGGGTTACGTCGTTTAGTGTCACGTGCGGGTACGTCGTGTGGTGTGCGGTTAGAGTGGGGGAAGGGGAGGGGGAGGGTGAGAGGGTGGTGTTTGTGTTCACGGTGGATTGTAGGTCACGCTTGGAGGATCCGGTGGAGGGAACGTACTTTGGAAACTGCGTTGTGCCGCGTTTGGTGGAGGTTAAGAGAGAGGAGGTGTTGGGGGATGAAGGGTTTGTGAAGTGTGTGGAAGGGATAAGTGAAGAGTTGAAGGAGGTCGAGGGTGGTGTGTTGAGTGGGGTGAAGGAGTGGTTTCTGAAGATTCAATCTGTGATGGGAGAAAGGTTGTTTTCTGTTGCAGGGTCACCAAGGTTTGAGGTTTATGGGGTGGATTTCGGGTGGGGAAGACCTAGGAGAGTGGATGTTCCTTCTGTCGATAAAACGGGGGCGTTTTCACTTTCCGAGAGTAGGGATGACGGTGGAGGGATTGAGATTGGGTTGGCCTTGAACAAGGATCGAATGGAAAAGTTTAAAACTTTTTTTTATCAAGGAATTTAATCCTTCAGATGATGCTTTATTTAGAACGTGGTTTAATTAGTTCAATCTTTTCAAATAAATCTTCAAAATTGTTTGGCTTGTCATAAATATTTATATTTATATTGATAAGGATTTTGTGGTTAAAAATTGCAAGCCATGAAATTGGCACGATGATTCAGCACTTGATGATTTCTGCATCTGACAAGTGTTGATGGTGTGCTGAAACTACAGAACCATACGATGAAAGCATGCTTGAATCCTTGGATAAACCTCAGAAACTATTTTAGTTTGAAATCGTGACATCAACGTTCAAGGCACCGTCAAACCTCCGAACATAAACCTCAGAAACCAAGCGGTTCATCTTTCTAGACATTTATAGAAAATCTTTAATTATTTTAATAATATTATAACAACGTCTTTTGTAATTTATAAATAATTTTCTTTAATCATTTCAGCGTATATAACTATTTTAAATGTTATACCATAAAGATAGTATTTAAAAAAAAAAACTTATAAATTACCATGCCAGTAATTAAACTAGTTGATTAAGAATTCACTCGTGAGTGATAGATTCAAAAATATAATCCATCTTGACACGTAGACAAGTCAATCTGTCTAATAAATAATTTATTTTCCTTTATTGTAAAATTAGTTTAAATTGACAAAATTAATAAAGAATTTCAAATATGTTAATATAATTTTTGTTATTAATATAATAAATTGTGAATATAAATCTATACTTTTGAAAAACTCCAAACTTAAAAAATATATACAATAATGTCTATACATAAACATTATAATGCATTCCAATTTTATATGAAATTTGATTATACAAAATTGATTGAAGATATAATTTAATTATAATATATAAATAAGTTAAAAATTGAAAAACAATTCAAAAACGGTTTAATAATTTTATGATGTTAAAACTATTTTAAAAAACGTGGATATATTAATCACATAGAAAACTACTTTTATTGAATTTTTTAAATTTAAAAACTAATTACAAATTTTTTTTTGTAGTTTTTTAAAATTAAAAATTAAAAGATTGTTAAAATCAATAAACAAACCAACCATAATTGTTTAATAAAAAAATTATTTTTAAAAATGGTATAACCTGATTATTTTAAATACATATTTAATATATTAATATTTAAACATGTGGTCAAGTTATGTTAATTATGATGTCAATGCACCTTTTCCAGCCTAACTTTTTCAGTAGATTTTGAAATAAAAATCAAGATTTGATAAATTAATTAAAAATATAATAAACTTCACCATTTATTGATTTTATTTTGAATTGTTTTTATATAAAAAATATGGGAACTCTAATTGAAAGTTACAGCGAAAGCCTTATTGGCTTCCATAAACATGGTTTGGACCAATTATGCACCTAAAATTCGCTATTTATTGTAATTATATGTTCAAAAGTGAATTTAAAAAATTATTTAATAAATTTATTATTTTTAATGTTCTTTAAGTGATTTGTTTTAAAGATAAATTTATTCATTATTAAGAGTTTTTTATTTTAGAAACACCCATGTAATAAATTATCTAATTAGCCCTTTTAAAAAAAATCAATTAGATTAAAGTATTATTTAGTAGACATTTCATCTGAGTTTTATCTTGTAAGAATATTATTCAGAATTGGCAGTAGTTTTTGGTAATACACAGATAGATTTGTCATAAGGAAAAGTATGACAGAAAAATAAAATGGGGACATGGATTTGGACTTTTACCAACATAAATTTTGAAAAGAGCCTTTTTAAAATTTTATTTTATTATCACTTTTTTTTTTAAAAACATGGCAATTTTTAAATAACATAAAACTTATAAATATAAATAAAATAAAAAACGTGTCAACTTTTGAACAATACGAAATTCGTTAACATAAAAAAAAAATATCTTCATACACTAATCCTTCAGAATGTTATTCACTTTTCTTTAATGTTATTTAATTAAACCAATACTTTGACATAACTCTTAATTACTTTGCCCCCGTTTCAAAATTGATTTTCAAAGAAAAGGGAATCTTTAAAAGAATTAGTTATGAAGTTCCAAATAAGAAAAAATATAGTTATTGCTTCGAAGTTTTTTTTTTTACAATAAAATGTAAGAATATTTCAAATCTAAAAAGGTATAAGCAATTAGTAATCAATATTTTAAAAGATTAAATTGTAATACTTCCCAAAAATAAAAAAGATAGCATTTTAATCATTATAAAATCAGATAAATTAGGCATTTACTCAAATAAATCTAGCAGAAGATTACAAAAGGAATTTGTAAAACATTCTATTTTTCAATTTTATTGAACAAATAGACATGTAATGGAGGGGAAATAAAATATCTGCATTCTTCTGCAGAATCAAAAAGCAGGCCCCCTCACCAAATCAACAAAAGAGTACGGAGAATCGGAGCTACATCTATATAAAAATGTACAGGAGGAGAATAAGTACAAATTAGAAACTCAACCTAAATCACAAAAATGCTAAATTACAAATAACAATATTTCTAAGATGATAATGTTAAAGGAAAACAGCCACACAAGGGGCTAGCATGATGGGGGTTGAAGTTGCTTAAGCCTTCTTACAACTTGTTTCATGGTAGGTCTGGTAGAGAGAGAGTCAACAGTACACACAACAGCCAAGTGAAGCACCTCCACCAGATCATCTCCGGGTCCTGCTTCCCATAACCCAGCAGTGAAGAACTCCTTTGCCCTCCCTTGCTTCAGAAGCATGCACGCCCATGCCACTATGTTGAACCCATTCCCATAAGAAGAAAATGAAGGGTCCAATGCCTTCTTGTCTGAGAGCAACTCCAGAAGCACCACACCATAGCTATAAACATCAGCTTTATCAGAAACACGACAAGTCATGGCATATTCAGGAGCAACATACCCAAACGTTCCCGCTACACCAGTAGTAGCATGTGTCTCTGAAGTTCCCAGAAGTCTAGCCAATCCAAAGTCCGATAGATAGGCATTGAAATCATCATCCAACAAGATGTTGCTGGGTTTGACATCACGGTGAAGAACACGGGGAACACACTGATCATGCAGATAGGCGAGTGCACGGGCTATGTCCAATGCAATCTTGTGAAGAATTCTCCAATCCACAACCCTTGTGGACCTCTCTTGGATAAACTTTTCCAGATTCCCACCAGGCAAATAATTGTATATGAGAAACATCTCTGTCTCACAAGCATGATAACCAATCAGAGTGACAAGATTTGGATGGTGAAGCCTCCCAAGGGTCTTGGTTTCAGCATGGAATTGTTGGACACCTTGGAAACGTCCAACTGCGAGTCGTTTGACTGCCACCAGGATTCCTGGTGATACCTCTGCCTTATATGTTGCCCCAAAACCTCCATTCCCAATACAGTTGCCAGCATTGAAATTTCCAGTGGCTTGGACAACAGTTTCAAACGTCAATGGGACCCCAATATCAGTGAACACTGTAACTTCTTTTCGTGTAGAACCAACAACCCTGGACCTTGGCTTCCACTTCCGAGTGTAAAAGAATAGAACAATCAGGGCTATAAGAACTGAAACAATGGCTGAAGCGGAAGTTATAGATGCTATTTCAATAGAACTCAAGCCGTTCCCCGTCTGCTTGCCAGTAGTTTGCTCTGATGCCGAATTATAAGAGTTTGCATCAATCGGCCCTAGTTGACTCCCTGATGGGACAGATAGAGAAACTCCGCGACAGGGAATTAGAAACGGATTCCCAACAGCACTGCTGCATTTAATCAAGCCACTATTTGAAGGCAACGATCCAGATAAGTTGTTGAAGGACACATTGAATGCTGAGAGTGTAGTGACATATGCTAAACCATCAGGAATGTGACCAGAAAGATTGTTGTTATTGAGCAAAACATCAGTCAGATTTCTCATGTTCTCAATAGCCTTTGGAATCTCACCAGTAAGATAGTTTGAAGAAAGGTCCAAGATTTCCAAAGAGTACAACTGCCCCAGACTGATCGGAATTGGGCCAGTTAACTTATTACCAGCCAAAGAAAGAAATTTCAGATTCTTCATCTGGCCAAGGCTGGTGGGAATCTGACCTTGCAACTGATTCCTACTAAGGTTCAGCGATACAAGGGAGACCAAATTCCCCAAATCAAAGGGAATCGGTCCTGCAAGTTGATTTCCAGACACATCCAAAAATTTCAATGATTTGCAAATTCCACCGAAATTGGAAGGAATATCACCAGATATCCTATTATAACTTACATTTAAAAGCAATGCATCTAATCCATCACATTTCTCAAATAAATATGTAGGAAATGGTTCGGTAAGATTATTTTCACCAACCAGAAATGTGTAAGCACTCTGCTTCCCCAGCTTGTGGCGTGCCAGAGGTAACGATAGAATCCCACTAAAGCTGTTTCGACCAAAGTTGTGAACAACTGAAATACCAACTCCCCCCATTGCTTTGAAAAGTGAAATATCACCAACTTTTGACGAAAAAAAGGATGCATATGGAGGAGAAACATCGCCATCTTCAAACAGGTTTCCATTCCAATAAGGTTTAGGGGGGCAAACAGTATCGGAGAAATCAGGAATTGCACCAGATAACATGTTCCCACTAACATCAAACACGCTCATACAGGGAACGCCAAGTTGTTTAGAAAGAACCCCAGTAAGGTTGTTTCCGCTTAAATCAAGAAAATGCAACCTCTTGCAGACACCGAGCTGGTTTGGAAACTCCCCACTGAAAAAATTCTGAGCTAAATTGACCATCTCCAAGCTCTGACAACCACCCCAATTCCCCTGAAAACTGCCTTCCAAATTCACCATGGGAGCCCACAATATCCTCAACTTCGGAAGTGATAAAACCTCCACTGGCATTGACCCTTCAAAATAATTCACCTCATCATTCACTGAACCCAATTTCCCGAAATCACCGGCAGCATACCCGCGCACATCGAAGAGATTTGACAGCACGAGAACCGACAACTCTGAGCAATTCCCAAGCTCCATCGGCACAGAGCCACTGAGAGTGTTCCTGGAAACATCCAAC